CAAGTAAAGGGAGTGGACATTCACATCTGGAGTGTTCTAGTGAATAATGGGTACAGCTAGGAATATTTCACAGATTTTCATGACCTTGTTACAAGGACTTGGCCTTTGAGCGGACTGTAGTTTGCAGCAAGGCACAGGAAAGGCATAGTTATCAATATTTACATGGAGTGGCACCAGTGGAATGTGAGTGTTTTCTGCCAGGGACTGTTTGACATTTAGCTGCGGAGGTTCTGGAAATAACACTTCAGCGGTGGGACAATCATTTAATGTGTATATATTTCTATTTGTCCCCTGCAATGAAGGCTGTCTTCTGGCTAAAGTGAAAGCTGCAGTATGAAATGACAGGGCTAGCCCACTGCCTGTCCTGTGAGCAGAGGTAGTAGCTTTATACAGAAATCACAAGTCACCAATGATGACATCACTGCCAGGTCCCTTAATAAAAGGAATGAACAGCTGATTTTTTAGGTCTAGTTTTCTTTTAAAACATATTTTAATACCAATACTGTCCCCTGTATATTGATGTGATTCGCATAATGGTAATACCATAGCTCCCAACTCTCCCTCATTTGGAGGGACTGTCCCTCTTTAGGAAACAAATCCCTCCTCAGTTGTTCCTTTTTTTGGTCTAATGTAGAGACAGCTAAAAGTAAAATGTAACTAAAACTTTGATTTGTTAGGTCAAGAAAATTAGTTGCATTTCCCTAATAGTTGTATGTCATTACTTCTCTAGTATTTGGACACTTCAAAGGGCCTCCCAGGAGGTGAGAATTGTACCTTGAACTTTGAGTCAATTACCTCAATAACCCCTCTGATCCCTATCTCTATAGCCTAAGGTAGGCTACACACTGTGCAAATTTAACAAGAACCGTCCGAAAATCGCACAGCGGGTGACCCTTTTGGCACCCTTCCCGTCTGGCATCACTCAATCAGCCAATCGACGGAGCAGATTGGAAAATCTTCTTTTCCATTTTATATTTTTTTAATAATTCATTTGAATGCTCTTCTTCTGTGTAACTGTCTGTATAAATATGTGGGATTCAGATGCATTTTCAGAAATGTAAAAAGCCTGATGAAGGAATTGAGGGAAATCCTACGGGGTTGCATTTCTAATAACTTAAAGGAAACTATGAGGTGAGTGATTTTCACTCAACCTAATAGCTTGAGCCGATGTGTGACAATGAAACTGTCACACGTCGGCTCAATAGATCGGGAAGTGAGCGAACACATACCGTCGCTCCCTCACTTTCCGATCATCTCCCTGCAGTGAGTGGTGACTGTCAGTCACCGCTCTCCGCAGGGATCCCCCCTCCACGCTCAGATCCTCCAGCGCTGACTAGAGGAACGGACGGGGAGGGGGCGGGCACAGCTGGCTCTGCCTCCAGATAGGCAGATCCCCCTGTCACTCAAGCAGCTGGGTGGATCTCGACAGCATTGTCGGGATATGTCCTGGCTGCGGCGTTCTCGGTATATAGTGAGCAATAGCCCGCTTTATACTGAGCTTTGGGTTACGGGAGGACGTTAGAATATGTCCTCCCGTGACCCTTGAGAGAACTATGGGATAAAAAGGTTACCCCATAGTTCTTTTTTACGTCAGCTAATAACGGGTATCTCTTAAACTCTAAACTTTCTGCATTTCAAGCAAAGATAAAGGAAAAGTGTTGGTGAATAAAGCGCTTGTGGGTTTAACCAATAATTAATCTTCATAGTGTATGTATGTCTATGGAGTGGCAGGGTATGTGCTTTACCTACAGCAGTGGTTCTCAACCTTTCTAGGGCTGGGACCCCTTGGTAACATTTGCCAGGTTGTGGTGACCCCCATTGGTAAAATTTAGGAATGCACCAATACTAGTATTTGTGTGGGCTCTCAGGTAGCCTGTGTGGGCTCACGTGAGCTCAATGGGACTCTCTTGCGACCAGTGTGGGCTCTCTGGTGGCCAGTGGGGCTCTTTGGTGGTCAAACCGGCATTCAACCCCCCTCACTCCAGCCTGCTCCCCTCTCTTTGATCCTCCTCGGCTGCCGGTGCTGCAGCGCCATCTAGCGGCGCGGCCGGAGAACTGGCACTGCTGTTCTAGGGGTGGCTGAGGAGCCTCTCGCCTAGCGCAGCACAAAGCATGTCGTGACCCCTTCAACAGTGGGTTGTGACCCACTTTTGGTAATAGTCAGTGTACCCATTGCACTCCTTACCGCTAAATCCTTGATGAATGGGTTGGGTGCATCAGTAGTCGACGGATGGCCACCGTCCAGGCAAAGTATAAAGAGTTATGGACACCGGCACTCCAAAGTAGAAAAACGTCTTTTATTGACGCATCATGCAACAATACACTTATTGCAACGTTTCGGGGTCACACAGGATCCCCTTCATCAGGCAGAACAAGTAAAAAAACTTGTTCTGCCTGATGAAGGGGATCCTGTGTGACCCCGAAACGTTGCAATAAGTGTATTGTTGCATGATGCGTCAATAAAAGACGTTTTTCTACTTTGGAGTGCCGGTGTCCATAACTCTTTATACGTGACCCACTTTTGGGTCGCGACCCACAGGTTGAGAACCACTGACCTAATGTATATACTTTGTTGAAAGTCCTTCAGCTGTACAATGGAGGCGATGAGTCAGAATAGTGTTAGTTGGTATTGTTTATAATTTGTAGAAATGTCAGCAATGGGCAGTACAGTGTACAGGAAAAGGGATAGAACACCTGTAGTCAGTTCCAGTATGTGGATTACATCAGCCAGCAATGCACATAGCCCGGGCCGCTCACAGGATTAGCCTGTTTCTGCTTACATGAGACAAAATTTAATCCTTTGTGAGCTTTGCTTCTCACACATTATGAGCTTCTCACATCCACTGATTAATCAGTTTAGTCTGAGATGTAATTAGAGACGTTGGCACAGTGGGCACAAGTGTCAGTGATGCTTTCCTTCCCTGCCAACATATGGATACACCCCATATTTACCCAGTTGCAGCCATGTTTAATATCCCCTGCTACTGTGTCCTACCGGAGATTAGTTTATCCATTTTGAGGCTTCATATTGTCAGTTTATCATTTTAATTGAACCCAAACTGTCAATTTCCCAGTGTTCTGGGAGTCAAAAAGTTATAGAACCCTGCAGATAACACTGGGATTTAAAGGAGAACTATGAGGTGAGTGATTTACACTCCTCATAGTTAGAGCCAGCATTGAAACTGTCACATGTCGACTCTATAGATCGGGAAGTGAGCAAACACATACCTCCACTCGCTCACTTCCCGATCATTTCCCTGCAGAGAGCGGTGACGGTCAGTCACCACTCCCCACTGGAATCCCCCCCACCCCCCCTCCTCTCTGATCCTACAGCACTGCGTGGAGGAACAGATGGGGGAGTGGGCGGGCACAGCTAGCTCTGTCTCTAGATAGGCAGAGTCCGCTGTCAGTCAGCCAGCTGGGTGGGTCTCTACACTATTGTCGCAATCCGTCCCCGCTGCGGCACTCTCAGTATATAGCTCGCTGTCTATTTTGGGTCACGGGTGGACGTTAGTATAGGTCCTCCCGTGACCCTAAAGAGCACTATGGGATAGCAAGGTTACCCCATAGTTCTCTTTTAATAAAAGGGTCATACATATCAACAGAGGGACCTTAATAGGGGTCAAAGCTTGAAGTCTGTGTACCGCTCTGCTTGCGCCACCACTTCTTAGCTGCATACAAATGCTCTAAAGCCCAGCTCAAGCATCTACCCCCACACCCAATTTACTTTTCAAACTGAAGTATTCATATAATAAACTGTATGTAAACCCTCACCATGAATGACTCTTATGTACCACTTGCTTGTTGGTCTGTTTTTAATATACCATTGAAAACATTTTGTTACAGCCTTTTAATAAGTGCAATGAAATATCTGTTGATTCTGACAGAAATCCAGTGCCGTCCTGTCCATCCTGCAGGTATCAAGTCCTGATCGGTTCACCTCTGTGGACAGCAGAACACCTTACCCCTATAGTTTAAAGGGGGGGGTGGGGGAGTGTATTATAGTCAAGATACAGTCCGTGTACCCATCGCACTCAGAGCCGCTGCTCCAAAAATGGAGGGTGGGTGCAGCAGGTGTCAGCGGGTGGCTTAAAAATCTAAAATACAAAATATCAGTAAATGATGGACACCAGCACTCCAAAGCAAGTTCAGTACGGGTTTATTAATGTACTAGTTGCAAGTAGAACACTCTAAACAATGTTTCGGGGTCTCACAGGATCCCCTTCATCACTTGTTTGCCTGATGAAGGGGATCCTGTGAGACCCCGACACATACTGAACTTGCTTTGGAGTGTCGGTGTCCATCCTTTACTGTTTTATAGTCAAAACACACATTCTGTCCTATGGTGACAATACTGCTCCTCCATAGATACAGTACATGAGTGAGCATTGTCACCCTAGAACAAAAAGTATGGTAATGGCAGGATCATCAGAGGAAAATAAAGAAAACAAATTGTGTTCTTGGATTTACATGCAGTTTAAATCCAGCTTTTTTCCGCCAGTCATGTGGCTAGAGGGACCCCCAACTCCAGCATCACCAGTGTCTGGTACTCACTGCTGCAAAAACGGCCCTCATGTTGTGATTTGTCAACACCCCACTATGCAGCATTCCATTGTGAGCCCATGCTAAGTGATGATCCCCCCCAAGGGGAGGGGTGTGTCACTGACTGACCGAGCTTACAGGAAGTGGTTGGCTGACACTGTGTGTCATTCAAACCCAGCATTGGAGGCAATGAACAGTGATGGTGGGCAAAGCTGTTGCATGGAGAGGATGAGTAGTGCTACTCTAACCAAATACAGGAACGGAGACTGAGGTGTCTTTAAATTGGACTTTAAATTGGGACTCCAGGCATGTATGTAAAATCTCCATTCAATGCTTAGATCAATGACCGTTTGTGGCCTGATTGTACATATCTAATATTTTTTTAACAAAAAAGTTTGCTTTTCTTTTGAAAATGGAAACTTGTTCTTATTTCAGCTTCTATTGTGTTTTCTTTGCAGAGCATACAAGGAAACTCTTAGCAGAGTTTGGGAAGATCTATGAGGAGCAGTATGGAGTGGCCCTGTTCAATAGTGTACGCTATGAGATTGAAGGGAATGGAGGACCACAGACGCAGCTACTACATCGCAAGGTAGGGGATGGTTCACATCACTGATTGTCATTAAAATGCTTTTTTTCATCGTCGCATACCTCACTAGACATAATAGGAATAATCTGGTGGGTTGCTAAGAAGAATAAGAACAGTCGTCCTTTTGAGGAAATATGTGACGGAGAGAAATGGGAAGCCTGCTATGTCTAAACTTCTGAGAATTTCCTCCTTTTAGATAATTTCCTGACTGCTATGCTGCTCCAGTGGCTTTTAAGTCTTTGATTCTCTCATCCAGAACTAGCATGAAGAACAGGAAATTCAGAGTGAAGTCAGAAATTCTGCATATTTTTCAATGACTAAATCAGAAAACATTGAAGATTCGTTGGATCAGTTTGACAGCCAGGCAGTGCCAAGAGTTTGCACATTCACGCATACTATGACTGGGCTGGCTCAGAAATTACACCTGCTGGCCTTTGGGTTATCAACTTTTTAATGCAAGGACAACTAAATGGGATAATAATCACCCTTTAAAAACATATTATTGTAACCAGAATGTGTTCTTCCATCTAGGCACAATAGTAGTTTATAACGCGTGAAAAGTTCATATTTTATTTTGTGATCTTTGTCCCTTTTTTTTATAACGACGCTAACATTTTAATTATGTTTTTAATGAACAAACACAGTTTTAACCACGTCAGGATTCAGGAAATGTGTCCTGCTTCCTGCCCAGAAGTGGTTAAAACGAGCTGCAGCAGCAACCATGAGTTTGTTTTTTGTTCAGCAGGCTGATGGCTTTAAAATAAAACTAAAATGAATGGCAAACGCATCAATTCATAACCAGCTTTAAAGCAAGGTGCACATAGAAGGGCTTTAGACAGTACAACACCAACCTGCAAAAAAACACTAACTACTAAGGGTAAAAACAGAGGTCTTAGTTGCATGTCTTCTGCAGAATATGTGGAAGCCGCACTGCCTCGTCAAGCTCCCTCTGTGTAGCGTGGTCCTGAGGGCTAGTTCACACCAGCCCTGTACGTTCCGGGCCTGATTCTGGTGACCACACTGGATCACATCCTGGCTGGCTCACTTTATGGGGTGGGAAGGGGTGTGGCGGTGCATTGAGCTCAATGACACCGCATCCATGTCCTCCGGCCACAGGGCGATCGCCCGCAAAGAAACGCATGGCACATCATTGCCTGCGTTCCGGTCTGGTGCGGTCAGAAAAAATAGTGCATGCAGCATTTTTTCGGAACGCTTTGCGGTTGGTGTGAACTAGCCCTAACTCTAATCTCTTGGACCTCTATTTTGGAGGATCTATAGCAAAGGATGAATTGGGTGCACTGTGAATTGGGTGCAGGTTCATCATATCCCAACCTCCTTAAAGCTACAGGGACACACAAGGAACCCCGCACATCACACCTGCAGCTGAAGCCCCCCGTGTGTCCCGCACCAAATACAATAAGCAAAATGAATGGCAATGCACTCATCAATTCATAACCAGCTTTAAAGCAAGGTGCACATGGAAGGGCTTTAGACAGTACAACAGCAAAACATTTCCCAGCACACTCTCCAGCCAGGCTGCAAAAAAAACACTGTCTAACTACTAAGGGTAAAAACAGAGGTCTTAGTTGCACATTGCGTCGTCAAGGCCTCTCTGTGTACTGTGGTCCTAACTCTAATCTCTGAGAGCCTCCATTTTGGAGCATATATAGCGAAGGATGAATTAGGTACTGGTTCGCCAGGAGGCTGCCCAACCTCCTTAAAGACACAGGGACACACAAGGAACCCCGCACATCACAATGGCAGCTGAAGCCCTCAATTTTTTAACGCTTTGTAGTCGCAGCAGTTTTGAGGCTTGACATACTTGGTGTCTATATACCAGCCAGAAATACAGATTTAAATCGCTCCAGTGGTTACATACAAACTACATTTTGCTTAGGGAAGAAGTGATTTGAAGAAGTTCATGAAAAGTAAGGTTTAAAAAAGCAATTTTTTTCAAAATATTATCTACATAGGGAGACCTGCTCTTCCAATGTAATCTGCAGGACTGAGCTGTTAGTTTGACATCTCAGACCTGCACAATATAGAAGATGGCAGAGTGATGCGGAGGCAGAAGCGGCTCGCGTCCTAACTGTGCCCATGCACAGTGCCCAACATGGGTGTCGCTCCCTACCTCTGCATTACCGTGGCTCTGCAGCAGAGTAGTGATCCACACAGGTTCCTGAGTACATATTTGTTTTTAGTGTTGACTAGTGTATATAATATTTCAGCTGAACTGTGATCACAGTGGTGACATGGGCTTAGAATATCATATTACACAGTTCTGACATGTCCCCTTTTGGAAGAGCCAGGTATGCTTTTAGGAAGAAATATTTCCAGCATTTTGCTGAGCTTTGAATGTAGAGAAGAATAACTTATTCTGTATTTACAATGTGTTGGGAGAAGTGCCGGGCCTATGATGGAAAATGGAACAACAAATTGGGACGCTAAATGCTAAATATTTTCTTGTTTTTCTCTTAGACACCACTCAAAGACCGTGTGATCTTTTCTGGAAATCTGTTCCAGTTTGTGGATGATACCAGAAAATGGAGGAACCGCTTCTGCGTGGTCCCTCATCACTATGGCCCAGTGCTGTATGAGAATAAAATAGTAGGTGTCCTGCAACAGCCTGCAAAGTCTTACTTTGATTACTGAAGTTGCTCAAGGAAATTCTAATTCCTGCTTTGTCTTTTTAGGCTTATGAGCGTGGCCTACAGCCCCGAGCTGGCATCAACTGTGCTGGGTACAGAGTCTTAACCTCCCTAGAACAATATACTGAACTGCTTAATAACATGGTTCCAGGTATGTACACAATAGCTGACTGTTGTACTTTTGTAAGTAACTAGAAATACCTGCCTAGTCCACTCTATTAGAATGTTTATTCTAAACTGATATTGCCATTTTAGATGACTGCCATAGGGCGAAACTACCCACACACCTATATCACTTCAACAGAGACTTCTCTACACCTGAGTTCCCAGCTCCTTCCATCTGCTGCACTATATGAGGTGGTCTCACTCTCCATTCTGGATTCTACATTCAGTTGTACTTGCTACAATTGGTTGATTTATGATTCTGTGGTAGAAAGGAGAATAGTTGAGAACCAGTGTACGGTCTAAACCTGTTAAAAGAAAACAACTATTAGGGAATAAAGTATTGGGAGCCAACTAGCTTCGGAAGGCATGAACCCTTGAAGCTAGAAATAGGGGAGCTGCCACTGCTCACTTATTTTTAAAACCCATAGTTAGTCCAATTAGAGTTGACAACTTATCGTGGCTCCCCACCATGCATGGTTTAAATCTCATCATTGTCCTCTCCCTGCCTATTTGGGACAGGTATCAAATACTCTAGTAATCTAGTTTTGTTTGTGCGCACATTGTTGGTTCTTCCTGGAGATGAAGTTTCATCTCGAAACAAAAAAAAAAGTATTATTTTTTGAAGTGTTTTGAAGCAATATGCCTCATAAACAAAAACCAAAAACATTATACTACAAAAACTATAGCAGCTGGTGAGTTGTGATCAAACTTTCGAAAGATGAACTATAATAAGCATATTGAAATCCATTTGGTTGGCTGTGCCACTGTCTGATGACACATCGTGGCCCAAGCCAGAAGTATGTGCTGGCCTTGGCTGTGCTTGGCTCAGTGGAGGTGTTCTAGCGAGCAAGATGAAATGTAGGATGATTATCTCAGTTTTTAATGATGTGTGCCTGATGTCATTCTGTATGTCACCACTGGCAGTCTGTCACTGACTCCCCCAATACAGTAAGACAAAAACAGGTCTTTTTCATGTTTGTGCAAACAGAGGTTTTGCACAAACTATGGATTGAGCCCTTTTGCACTGTTAAAGGTGTATAGGGCAGCGGTACAGTTGATAATCGAAGATAAACAAATGGAGCTGGTTGTTTTCAGTTTGCAGTTTTTCTGTGTCCAGGGGCGACATCCGAACCTGTAAGGATATACACATTGAGAGCTGGTGTTTACCATTGTACAGTCACAGCCATTGACAAGCCATTGACTTGTCAAGGTGGGCTGAATGCAACACCTGTGGTACATGGATCTCTGCACCCGTGTGATAAGCCCTTACAGACAGCCTAAATTACAGGGCTACCAGATGTGACTGCCTCTGTGTAATTACGGGCTATACATAGAAATAAGTAGGGATGCACCGATACCGGTTTTTCGGTATCGAGTATGGATTTTTTTTCCCCCGGTATCACCGATAACGGAAGACCCATTCAGGAAGCCGGGCAACGTGTACTGACTTGCCGCCCGGCTTCTTTATTACCCAGGAAGCCGCCTCCATACTCCCTCGTCACCAGGTGACGAGGAAGCATCGAGCCGGCCTTCTAGCCAATCAGGAAGTCAGGGGGCGGGTAATGACTCTCAGCCTGGCTTCCTGATTGGTCGGGAAGCTGGCCAATCAGTAAGCCGGGTGGTGAGTCGGCTTCCTGATTGGCCGGAAAGCCAGATCCCTGGTGACGAGGGAGCATGGAGCCGGGTTGCCAACCAAGCAGGAGGCCGGGCAGTGTGTAATGACTCGCCGCCCGGCATCCTGATACCGGCAGTTCTGGTATCGAGATAGGCAGCATCCGGGCAAATACCAGCATCCGTATCGGTGCATCCCTAGAAAAAAAGGTATTTAATATGCATAACATAATCTGATAGGATTATTACACTGGATTGCAGTCACATGTATATCTTAAAGGAATAGTTTTATTGTGTTGTCTTCCTGCACTCGACATGTGTTTGGAACGCACTTTAGATGCAGGTCAGCAAAATCTTATTGACTGTATTTGAGCAGTAAACTTGGCAGCTCAGAGGCAGCATTTGACCTGCTTTGTGTTGAACTGTTTTTTTTCTTAAGGTGCAGCGTGTCCTATGAAGATGCATTTGAACTGCAGGCAAAGCCGAGCAGGTCAAACAAGGTCTTTTCTTGTCAATTCGAACACTGCTGCATGCGTTCGAATGGAAACACGGTGTTTAATTAGAATGCACGCCTACTTGAACCCTTACAGACACTGTCCATAATCTGAATTAGAAAGGCAGTTGTGTCTCTTTGAATGCTGTCAAGTGTCAGATTTTCACTCATGTCCTGTCAGATGACTGAAAAGGAAGTGAAGTGAAATTTCCTCAATTAGGACACATTAACAAGCAACCACCCTGACCCTCCATTTTTAAATAAGTAATGTATGCTGTGATAGCGCGGACCATACAAAGCTCTTATCTCAGGCTAAATAAGGCCACATATTCTAATTGCTAGGACTGTATTTTGCATGTGAGTAACATTGTCTCCTCTACTTCCTCCTCCAGGTGGCAAAGTGAAGGCTGGCAGTGCCCCAATGAAATGTGCCACTCAGTTCCCCATTATTCTTTGGCACTCTTTCTGCCGGCATTACCATTTCTGTGTGATGACTGAACGCGAGCAAGAGAGATGGAGCGCAGTGTTCCAGGACTGTGTGCGTCACTGCAATAATGGTATGCGAGGGACCGTGACGGCAGGGGATGCTGGGATAATCATTAGCATGGTACCATAACAATCAAGGGCAATGGAATAATAAGGATCAAATATAAAAACGATGCAAAGTTCCTGGGGTTTTCAGGAGCGCATTACACTAGAGTGAAAGTCTCTGCCTCTACACTAGAATAACCCTGTATATAAAACTGTACTCCTGAAAAATATCAAATACGCCAGCTGATGTTGTTCTATGTCCATTCAATCATCAAGCATAGGTAAAGGCAATTTCTTTCCATTTTGAGTAGAGCGGGGAAGGGGTAAACACTGATAAAGTTTAATTGCTGGCTGGGTCCCCATTGTGGAGATGCATCCATCTATTTATCATGGTGACCACTGGCATCAAGACAGAATCTAAAGAGATATCCAAAATTTTACAGTTGTCACCAGAACAAAAGGTGAGAGTAAAGCTGGCCATACACTTTACAACCATCGCACGACTTTCGTCTTGCGATGGTTGTAAAGTAGGTAAAAGCTCGGACGATGTGCCCATCTTGAACAGGCAGATCGTACTTGCGATCATCGAAAGCCCGCCCCTATGTGGGGAGGGCTGCCGATGATTCCAATGCCTTTGTCTCCTGAGAACGCCACAAACCCGCCTACAATCGTACGATTCTCGGCGGGTTTTCAAGCCTGCTCGGGAGACAAAAGACGTGCGACCGTACAGTAGAAACGGTCGCACGCCTTCCATACACCTGCCGATTGTCGTACGATCGCGGGATTTCCCGAAATTATTGTACGATAATTGGCAGGTGTATGGGCACCTTTATTCTTCCAATAGAGACATCTATATGGTGACAGCTCTTTAAAGAGGGCAATTGCATGTTTTGCAAATTTTTCTCTAACTTTTTGTTGTGTCTCTAGGACAGAAAGTGAAGGGAACCCTTCCCCAGGGTACAACCTGACAGGGCATTAACCGTTACCTACTTCATCCTAAATTAAAACAGTATTTCAGTGCGTACAGTTTCAATATATTTGAATGCATTTAGTGTATCTAAATTAGTCTTGATATCAGCCTGTTGTAGTCCCCTGTATATCACCACTCAGACTGAGACGGAGTACCAGCACTAGGAGAATATACCTTGACCTCACACACTGTCCATGCGTAAAGTGTACTAACCGTAATAAGATATATTTATCATAAATTACTAGTACTTGGATGACTGGCTGCAATAGTTTTTCTTTTTTTCAGGCTTTTCACCCTTTATTTTCACCTGGTGATCCCACCAGTAACACACTTCTTGTCCTAGGGTGGAAATGCTCAATTACTACACTGTATCTATGGGGGAGCAGTGTTGTCACCATAGGAAAGGAAGTGTGTTAGGACTACAGGACACCTCCACAAAACAGTTTGAAATGAATATTTAACTGACAACAAGGGGACAAAAACAGAACTTCCTTGTAGGTTCTCTTTGATGTATACATACAAATAATAATAATGATAAAAAAAAGACTATGTTCCCCTTTAAAAATAAATCAACAGTAGCAGCAGCTCATCAGATTTGGCCATATACAAGTATACACACAAAATACCATGGGTAACTGTATGCATGAGAAGTGGTGGTTCTCGTCAGGTGACCAGATTTCCCGTTCTTTAATGGGAAATGTGTCCCAGAATGTAATTTCTTGTAAAAGTGAAGTTGTTAGATTGAGTTATGAATGTTCTGTAACATGGAACAGATGCATATCTTATGTTTGTTGCTTATCTATTGATTATCCTTTGTGCTGGTGTGTCCTCTCTTGTCTGTGAGGTTCTAGCTCATATCTGTCCTGTGAACCGTCTATCGCTAATACCATTCTGAATGTACTACAACTGTCATTTCCTCCAATTGTTATCTTTTGTCTCTCACTTGCCTTGTCTGCCTAACTCTGCATTATACACTCCGATACACACAATTAAACCTGTATGGGCCGCACCTGCATGTCACGCCTGCACTGTACTATAGATTGCTGTCTTCATGGGAGGTACAGACTTCCATGAACTAAGAAATGGCGTGTCACAGCGCTGATAGCGTAGTGACGTTAAAATGCCACATGACTCTACTAGTTGAAATGTCCCTTTTGAGGATCACTAACCCTTTAATAGTTTCAGTTCTCTAAAAGGGAATATATCGTGGTTTTGGACATACCTTCCTTCCTTAGTATCGTAAGGACAAAAAAAAAAAAATATTTTAAACATGGTTTCACTCAACATGGTAAATTTAACATTGTTTAAACACAGAATATTACATAAGTACTATACATGTAACATGTACATTTATGGTGTGTGTATATATTAATATTATGTGTGTGTGTATGTGTGTCTTTTTTGACATTATATATATATATATATATATATATATATATATATATAATATAAATATATACACACACACACACACACTCACACACACACACATAATATAAATATATACACACACACACATACACACACACACACCATAAATAAATGTACATGTTACATGTATAGTACTTATGTAATATTCTGTGTTTAAACAATGTTAAATTTACCATGTTGAGTGAAACCATGTTTAAAATATTTTTTTTTTTTTAGACGGAGCCACTTGGGCTGGTGAGTTTGTCCTAGAAACTTTCTGCACGAGCGCCAGCCAAGGCATTGGCCTATACACATACAGCACAGCAATGAAGTAATAAAATGAACTAGGATCACACTAATCCAGTACATTATGCCACATATTTGCTAAAAATAAATATTTGGCATACTTACTCTGGAGAATGACCACGGAGGGGTGAGCACACTGTGGGCGACTGGCCACTGAGAGGATAGCACACTCTGGAGACTAGTCTGTTTATAGGGTTAATGCACATACTTTGGAAATTGTCCAAATGAATACAATAGGGTGTGGTCACTGATTGAGGATTAAGGCACATATGCTGAAGACTGGTCACTAAGGGTTAGTGACCACAATATGGGGGACTGGTCACCAGTGGGTAATGAATATTTGTCAGTGCATTGACAGATCTAGGAGCTTCAGTAAAAGAAGTGTTACTCAATGATTTTTCCCTTCTAGGTATCTCAGAGGATTCACGCGTGGAATCTGCCGCCTTCACAGACTCTGTGAGATTTTTCAGACAAGCACGGGACCAATACGGAACATGGGACATGCTGTGCGGCAATCAAGTCCAGGTAGTGTCATATCTAAAACTTCTTTTCCCCAAATTAAAAGGGAACTATAGGGTAACCTTTTTATCCCATAGTTCTCTTTAGGGACAAGGGAGGACATATACTAATATCCTCCCGTGACCCAAAGCGCAGTATATAGCAGGCTATAGCCCGCTATATACTGAGAGTGCCGCAGCGGGGACAGATCCCGACAATACTGTCAAGATCCACCCAGCTGGCTGATTGACAGCGGGCCCTGCCTATCTAAAGGCAGAGCCCGCTGTACCCTCCCCGTCCGTGCCTCCAGTCAGCGCTGGAGGATCGGAGAGGGGAGGGGAGGAATCCCTGCGGCGCGCTACTCTCTGCAAGGAGATAATCGGGAAGTGAGCGAGCGAAGATATGCGTTTGCAGACTTTGATGTTGCAGACTCCAACTTTTGTTTATATGCATCCTGACAAGCTTCTGTGTACTGGCCATTCCTGCCTAGTTGCCTCACATACATTTCAATATGACAGTGTAATGAGCATCTCCAGCCTTGTAACATAGACCCTATAGAGGTTTATGGTAAGCTGCTCTGCTAGTGCACAGAAACTTTTCAGGAAGGAAGTAAACAAATTTGAAGGCTGCGTCTGCAGGCTCAAGGAAGGTATGCTTATGGGGATGGTGAAGTTTCGTTTTGGGAGGGCCAAAAAGCATAGGTGCACTTTGAAAACAAAAAGCACGCATCATTTTTTTGCATCAATGAAGCATCTACCTGCTGCTGCTCTTGCATTGTGTAGAGCCACATGATACTCATTCCTTTGGTCCGTTCCAGCCGCCCGTCTACAGTAACAGTGGTCACCTCTGGCCATCTGACCCTTATTGGCTACCAGCTTTTTGGGTTTTGTGGGTGCCTGAAGCCTTGTTTTGCACCCTGAGGTTTACATTGGCTTAACCACCACATGCTTGTAAGATGTCTGATTATCAGATTCTAGTTCTTCTTGTTCTGTGCCCACTGATGTGGTAACGTCTGCAACCTGGAATCCTATTATCCTCTGTTTCCTAATTTTATTCCATCATCAAAGGTTTTCTTAGGTCCATTGGATGTGGTTGGTTTCTCTGTCTCTTGGTTACCTTATGGCCAAACTCACACTGTTACTTGCTGTTTCTGACCACAGAGGCTACGAGCGCACTCCCACCCTTTCCCCTGCAGATTTTGTATCTGCCCATGGTCTTGGGGATCCATGAGCAATCAGCCGATGAGACTTTGATTATAGGAAACTTTGTTTTAGACCAGTCGCAGTCTTCTGCCATCACCCTCAAAATTAAAAAGAGACTGTTTTAGCTCCTATTGATGTGGTGCACACCATTCTGAAACTAGAGGGTCACCCTGTTGCTTCAGCTAGTACTATTACAAGTCTTGGGTCCTCCAGAACCTCTAAGACTGCAAAGATTTTCCTGGTGCACCCACTGTTCCATGTCATGATTGGAAACACCCTGACAAGATGCAAAATTGTATCCCTTGCTGTAGGTTAAGTCCATTTGAGTTTCTCCACTCCTGCAAGCCCCCAAGCTTGGTTCCCAGTCCACCCAAAAGGTCTGGGGCTTAAAGTCTGCCAAATCCTCAGACAAACCTTCCTCTGCACATAGGTGTTTCCCCACTTTCCTACTACAAGCTGGAGTTCCACTCCTTGCCCCTCCGCTATTTCTCACCTCCAGCCATCCTGTGTCACCACACAAATTAGCGAATCTCCATCGAGCCCTATTGGGTCGATCAAGATGTCATTGGCCCAGTTCGTGTGACAGAAGGTTTTCAGGGGTTTTATTGCAACTTGTTAACAGTTCTCAAACCAAAAGGGGCATCTGTCCCATGCTGGATCGCAAAGCACCTAAAGCCTTCCTGCAAGCTCAGAAATGTCATTTGGAATCCAAGACTTCAAGGACACATACCAGCATGTCCCCATCTTCCCATCTTCCTGTGTTTCCGACACTTTGCTATGGGGCCCATATACTACCATTTGGTGGCCCTGTTTTTCAGCCTCTCACCTGCACCTTGGATTCTGGCCCCAGTACTAGTCACCATGTGCTGTCATGATGTCCCATTGTGGGACCTCCTGTTGAGGAAAATGTCAGTGCATGTTCTGTCAGACAATGTGTCCTTGCCTGTCCACATGTTACAACAGTTTGCATGGTACCTAAACCTTCAAAAGTCGTTGTTGGAACCGACTCATCATTTGGAGTATCTGGGTTGTGTATATGGCACAAGCAAGATTTCTCCCATATGAGAAACTTTCTGAACAGTCCCCTGTTGTCAGTTGTTTCCTTGGGTCTGTTATCATTTGTTTTCTGTGTTGCCCTACTGGACTGCTTTTGGATGTCCTGAAGGTGAATTACTTCCTTTTGTCCCTCAATGAACAAGAAGAAAAAAAAGGATTTTTTGCACTCACTTTTAAATCTTTTTCTCTGTGTTTATGATCATGCTCTCGGTACTGCTTGCTACAGAACTGAGGCATGCTGGTAGTAGGAGGGATTATCTTAAGCTGGCCCACATTTTTTGTTTTGTTTTTTTTACCCGTGTCCAGTTCTCTTGTGGGCAACAGTATAACCCGAAGGGTATTGACTTCCTGTGCCCCTAAGTTTACTCTTAAAAAAAGATTTAACTGCAAGTACAATAACCCCCTTTTTTTTTTACACTTGGGCCCCATTCACACTTGGCGATTCGCAAATTGCGCGTTTGTCGCGCGATTTGCATTTTGCGCGATTTGTCGCGCAAATGATTGCATCAAAAAGCATTGAATCGCGGCAAAATCCGCTCCAAAAAGGATCCTGCTGTAGTGACACACGACCCGCGACAGCAGGACCCTTTGCCCCATTGCAAAGCATTGAAGAGCGATATCGCGCGGTAAATAGCCGCGATATCACGGGAATTACCGCGCGATTAATTGCTCAATGTGAACGGGGCCTTAGAGAAACTGGCAGCCCCCCCGGCCCAGCAAGATTGATATCAGAGCAGTCAGTGGCTGCATGGTGGTTGCCACATGTAATATAAAAACCGTATTATATTATTTTAATAAGTTCACCTAAAACGGTTATCAAACCTAAAAATTCATAACATTTTTATGGCCCAATTTTCAGTCCACCATTAGCTGTCTGCAAGTGTCTTTTTAAATGTTTGTGGTAAAGTATTTTGGTTTACAAAATGATGCAAACAAGTGTGAATAGTCCATTAAAGTCCAGTTGCAGACAAAATAATGTTTACGTTTGGATAAAGTTGGAGAGAATCGGAACCTTTTGTGAGTCTTTGATTGCTGCCATGGCCCCTGTTTGAACATGGAAGATATTATTACTCAGTTATACAATGTTATACCCAACTGGGACAATATACAATGTTATACCCAACTGGGACAATTACTAATATCAAGGGTTGCAGTATTCCACACCCCCACCAATCTAGTAATAATAGCCTGACCCACTCCCACTCTCTTAAAACAATGTATTGCTCACCTGTCACCTTTTGGAGAGGGATTCCCTTCTTTTCCCCTCTCTCAGCGGGGAGAAATCTCTACAATGGGTACAGAGACGGCAGTAAAACCCTGACAAAGGTTCTTAACTCTTCCAAAATAAATGTATCTTCTACTTTAGGATGAACTGTGCTAAGAGTGGACATGTACTAAACTGTTCCATAATATATTGAACAGGTTCTCAGCAATCTGGTGATGGATGATCTTGTCCCTGATCTGAAGAATACCATCGGGCCCAGACTCAGAGGAAAACCTCAGGAGAGACAGAGGACCTGGCTGATGGTGAGTCAGTGGTGAGGGAATCCCTTGGGGGCCACAGTGTATAAATATGGATCAGTGTACAGCCAAACCAAGAAATTGAAAAGGTCTGTTATTTCCTTGGAGTAGGAAATTACTATTAGCCATATTCACAAATATTTATTTAAACTTTAGAGGAACCTGTTACATGTGTATATTTGACACCCCCTTTTGTTCTGTGTTTCAACCTGGAGCAGACTTCCTGTGTGAAAGTGAATGGAAGGAAACAGCAGGCGAAAGATCGCGGTTTCTTGTGGCGGATGATAGCAGACAATGGACTGCAGCCATTTAAATTACATACAGTGCAATATATAATACGCTGCCTTAAAGTCTGTAATTCAAGGAAATATAATCTTGCTCTCATAAACTGTAATGATAAGCATTGCGTTTGTAAATGAGAACACTTCTTTTCTGTAACCATTATGTCCCAGACATCCATTGTATACAATCACAGCCTCTTAGCAATCTTTGCTACACTTAGCAACCAGATTCTTACTTTCTTATTTATAGCCAACCATACATGTGTCAATACAATCATTTAATAACAATTGTTCAATATTCTGATTGAACACAGAAATTGTTTTTTATTACCAATTTGATAATTTTTGACTGATTTCGCAGAAGCCGGTCCAAAGATTCGATGCACTAGAAAATTTCAGTACTTTTCAAGCTAGTTGTATGGCAGGGGTGCCCATTAGGTCGATTGCGATCTACCAGTCGATCGCAACGCGATCCCTGGTAGATCGCGATGTCCTGTCCTCCTGCCGTGGGGCTTCTCTGGATCCCCGCTGCCCTCCCCCATCTGTAGGCAGCGGGGATCCGAGAAGGGAACGAAGCGCTGCAGGCAGCGGAGCCGCTATCACAGCACCACGTCAATCGGTGAGGAGAGAGAGAGAGCCGCTCGGCCTGGATCTGACAGCCGGCGGCTCTCTCTCTCCTCACCGCACATGTTGAGCGCTTTACTTCATCATTGGGTAGTGCAATGCGATAGGGCAGGGTTAGGCAAACTCCGGCACTCCAGCTGTGGTGAAACTATAAATACCATCATGCATCTGTCCGATTCCTGTGGCTGTCAGTTATTTGCAATGCCTTATGGGATTTGTAGTTCCACAGCAGCTGGGGTGCCAGAGTTTGTTTACCCCTGCGATAATGGAACCTGTGGAAGATGAACTGAATTTGTAGAAATGTCACCAGCACATCAGTATTCAGTGAGATAAGCAAAAGTCCATTCATTGCAGGAATATTGCCATTCAGAAACTAGCGCTTTCGGGCCCACACAGGGTACCCTTCATCAGGCTCAGAATGACGATTTATTAGGTTATCTTGGAGTGCAACAAGATACCTATTCATCTTGTGGAAGATGAAACACTCAGCTCCCATTAACCACACACTCACACTGACAAAAGCTTTATCATGGCCTGGAAATTTGGATCAGTCCATAAGGCTAGACACACTAGAAATGGCAGTGGGTCCCAGTGCTGTGTATGACTGGCAGATGTCTCCTTGCCTGTCATTTACAGATAGACATCTGCTATCTATGGGTAGGCATACTGATGTAACTGCAGTGAATACTGGCTGTGTAGTTTGCACAACATGCTGCCCAGATGCTTTCTACACTAAGATCACTCTCAAAACTAATATTTGAGTTTTAAATCTGCACCAGTGGGATGGATTGCTTCTGCTAACTAAGCCTCCAGAACATATTTTATCTTACTTGTAGCTGTCGCTACCAAATTCCTTAATTATGAACACCCCGAGTGTCTGGCCACAAGATACAGCCCTATAAAAGTTTGCGAAGCTGTAATCCCAGGCACGCCCAGGACGGTGAAGACTTGCGGCGCTGGATGTAAACAAACAGTGATGTTGTAGCTATCGGATTATTGGAGTTAAATATGCATCTAGGGAGAGGGAGGGTGGGTTAGATCAGAGGAAAGGGGCACAAAGTTCTTAAAGTGCATTTATTTTTAAGGCAAATAAATAAAGACCCCATTCACACCAGAACCGTTGAGTTGCGTTACCATCCGTTCTTTAACGCAAGGGCAACGACAAGTGAATGGGGACCATTCATACCGCATAGTTGCTTTGCCGTATGTTGCGCTGAAAAAAAGTAGAGCATGCTCTACTTTCAGTGCAATGCAACACATCAAAAATGTGTGCTAACACATGGCAAGCCAATACAGTGATGCATGTCTAATCAAGGACATGTTACTTCACATAAAGATTGGCGAAAAAAAGCAAGCAACGGAACATAACGGATCAGAAGGTACAATTGCAAGTCAATGGACCCTTGGGTGACTTGTGAGTGTCCTTGGTGTGAATGCAGCCTTAGAGATATGTTTAACATGCATTCACATATTGTTCCCAATGAAACAATCAGCTCCTGGGAACCCAGTTCTTAAACAGCTTGCTCCTTAGGAGTGCTGTAGACGTGAATGCGGAAGCATTCTTTTTACATTAGGAGTGTAGTGACTTCGCAAATGATGTCATGGCATTTTCTCTGTGTACTGTAACAGCTCTGTCCTGTGGCTCCCTGCAGCAACAGATCACTGCTATAGTAATCTATTGCTGGTTAATGGTAATAACATATACTTTTGGATAGTCTACAAAGCCTAAAAGATATAAAATACAGAACTGAGACATTGCTGAAACAAAAAACAAATGCTGTAGGACTTAAAGAAGATCTATGAGGTGAGTGATTTCCACTCATCCTCATAGTTAGAGCCGACCTGTGACAAAGAAGCGGTCACAGGTCGGCTCTATTGATTGGAAAGTGAGCAGTCAACTCTTGGCAAAGGAGCAGTTCTGAAAGTTCTCAAGTGAACAATGATGTCATGAGGGATTCCCCGATCCATTCTTAGAGTTTTTTCTCTATAGGTATATAACCAGCTTTAGGGAGGCAAAATCCCTGGGACTCCAGTGATTGAGGGTTGTCTGCCAGTTGATATTCTCTGACAGGTTTGGGGTCCAGTAAAATAGGCAAGTGGGCACTTGAGGCTGTCATGTGACTTCCTGTGACTGCTCCCTTTTCTATGATATCAATGCTGTGCTACACAAATATAGTTCTTATCATATCTCTGCACAGGGCAGGGGGAGATAACCAAAAACATCTGCTTCAGGCTGTCTGCTTTCTGAGGAAACGGACAGAATTTGAATCACATTTTCATGTGGAAGAAAACTCGTCATATATGGGCTATGATATAATAGAAAAGCTCATCTGAACTTTAACCCCTTCATGACTGAGGCCTTTTTTAATTTTTTGTGTACATGTTATAATCTACATTTTAGGTCTGAAAATTACTTAAAACCCCCAAACATTATATATTATCTGAAAGCCAAGACCCTATAGAATAAAATGGTGGCAGTTGCACGATATTAGCGGTTATGATGTTACAACGAGTAAATAGATACCCAACATGCCCAGGTTAAAAATTGTGTGCGTCCGTGAAACCGCAACAAAATTCAGTACTTCAAAAAGTCCATAGACGACGCTTTAAAAGCCCCTACAGGTCATGAATTTGGAGATAAGCGTAAATACTGGCCCTAGAATTATTGGACTCCCTCCGGCGTGCGCAGCGATACCCATCATGTGTAGAGTAATCGTCGTTTTCATACGTAGGCGCACTCAATGCGTGTTTATGTGAAGACGTGCTGGGGCGGGGGGCTTTAAAAAAAAAATAATGTACAATTATGTTTACATTTATTTTATGTAATCATTTTAACCACCTCCCGTCCATTGGCCCTTCCTGAACGCTGAACGGGAGCCTTATCGGAGCGGGAGGGCGTCTTAAGACGTCCTTACCCTCCCCACACTTGTGCGCGGCGCCCAGCGCGCACATGAGTGGGGAAACTGTCAGAAATGTAAACAGCCAGCGATGTCTGTTTACATTGAAGCGATCGGGCGTCTCTAGAGACACCCGGTCACTTGTATTAGGTGCGGGTATGTCGACGCTGCTGCCAGTCCTGAGATCCGATGTGCCCGGTGCGGCCAGGATCGGCACGGTGACTGTCAGGGGAGATTAAAGGGAGATCAGCACAGGATCTCCCTCTGACCCTCTTCTCCGGTCCCTGAATGCAGGAAGTGATGTATATTACATAACTTCTGCATTCAGTGTCACTCTCCGGCAACAGATGCCGGTGAGAAGCTGCTGAAGCAGATCTCTGCTTTATTAGCTTCTCTGGGGTCCCTAGGTGACATTAGGGGTCTTAGAGACTCCTAATGTCTCCATAAAGAGGACCTGTTATGTGAATTGGCTATCACATAGGGGGGTTTCTTAGCCCCCCATGTGATAGCAATAAAGTTAAGTGTAAAAAAAATTAAAGAAGCATAAAAAAAGTAAAATAACACAAAACATTTTTTAACGACCCCCCCCGCATACTTTTAGATCGCAACCCACATCTAGATCTTTCCTCCCCAGCCTGACTCTCATGTTCCACCCCTTTCATTCATTGGGCTTCAGTTTTTTCAATCATGGAGTCATAGCATCACTTGTGGGAGTTACCTAGGGTGGTTTGCATGCAAATGCAGTCTGCCTAGGAATGCACACTTCTTCAGACCGACATCCAGCCCTCAATTAGAGGAGATAGAAACCAAGAAAGGCAAAATATAAGCAGACTAAAGTTTTAGCTTTAAGGAGTCTGATGCTGCCTAAATAATAAGAGTCTCTTGTGTTTACCGCTGATAATAAGGTTCATATTTCTGTGAATAAACGTTTTTTTAATGTAAAATCCAGTGAATGGCACACTCTTCCATCAGCTTGTCCATGTAGTTTTACAACATCCTAAGATTGTCTGTCTGTGTCTCTTTCCCCCAGATTTCAGACACTGTGTACCGGATGGTGCATGAGCAGACCCGTGTCTTCTTTGAGGGCCTTGAAAAGCGCTGTAGTGACAAGAGAGCAGAGATGGAGAGTCAGATCCGAACAGACATGGACCAGATCATTGCCTGCAAGGAGCACGTGTCCAACAAAATTCGAGGTAATGACAGACCAGGCCTCACCTCGCATAGGTTTCTCCTTCATGTCCTTGTGTTGTGGCAAATCTCTGACGAGGAACTAGTAAGGGCTGTACATACCCTGGAGGGCTTTTATCTGTTGTGCTCTCTCCCCCTCATTTTTTAGCAGAGAAACGTGGCCACACATTTCCAGGGTTATTCACAAAAGGGTGAAGAGTTTGGAGAAGGCAGGAGAAGTGAACAATCTAGGACAACATAGCCGAACTGGAAAGTGAGCTGAATTGGAGAATATTTCCAGTTGAGCTATGTTGTCCTAGATTGTTCCCTTCTCCAGACTCTTCCCCCTTTTGTGAAATCCCCTGCTAGTTCTTTCTCCTTAAACCCGCGGGCTGAATTAAAGCTTGATTCCCCTATCCAGACTAAAGAATGTGGATAGAGGAATCTCCCACTGCCCGCTATTGTAATTAAGCAGCCACAGGAACGCTGCAGTCATTGTTCAGCTGACAATTTTATGCCCGACTCCTGATTTTTCATTCAAGGTTTGTCGAGCCAGGTAGGACCAACAGGGCCACCCATGGCTCAGATAGGAGCTGTGTACGGCCTTTCATCTCTTATATTGGGGCTACCAACAAGCATTGCGACTTATAAGACAACGTTCACTACATTCACTCCTCCACTGTATCTATGAAGGGAGCCATGGTAGTCACACAGTCTGCACTTCAAACAGTTCTGCCTTTGTTCATCTCCATTACATGGGGGGTGGATGTTTTGCTTTCTGGCGAGGGTGCAGCATTGCTAGCAAGATCAACAGGTACCATCTGTACTTGCTAAAGTTGTTGTTAGCCTAAAAACAAGAAAACAAATGCAAGTGCCCCATGTAAGGACTGGTAGGCATGATATATTACTTGTTTATATTGGGGTTTAGCTATACTTTAATTGGCCACGTAGAATTATTCTTTGAACGTGTCAGAAACAATGTGTGGCCAAATAATCGCAGAAGATGAAAGGAGATTGTCCCATGATAACGGAATATGCTTTTTTATGTCTACTAAGACCTGAAGTTCACATTTTCATGTTCTTTATCTCCCAGCTGCCGTGCTGCCAAAGGCAGAGTTGTGCGTGCGGAACCATGTCCAGTCTCACATTCCATCTATCCTGGAGGCACTGATGGTTCCAACCAGCCAAGGCTTCTCTGAGGTGCGGGAACTGATTTTCTCTGAGGCCACCGACATGAACAAGAACCTAGTGAATGAGGGAGTACAAGACAAGCTGGGGGAGGTCAGTGTAATGATAACTAACACACTCATGTCCTACACACGCTAGAGGTAGCCATTTTCTAGAAAATTTGAAAACTGCAGCTCCAAACTGTTGTTGGTGACCAGGCCATGAGTTCTGGCTCTTCTCCAGGTGTTTCAGGCCATCTACTGGTATTCATATAACTCTTTCCCGCTCACAATTTGTCTATAAACATCTCTCATCATGGATGCCCCATCCTGAGGATACCTTTTTTATAAATGCCAATCTGTCAGAATTTATAAAGCTCCTGTAGGTACGTACTATCTCTCTTGATGCCCACACTGTATACTTGCAGCCGTTTTTTTTCCTGGTCCCTAGACACAAAGTCTCTTTTTAAGGATTACATTTGTGTTAATGAATAAGGCCTAACATAATATGGCAAAATAACATTCTACAAATACAATTCTTTATCCTCCAGCATATGGAGAAAATCGCACAGCTGGCCTATCACCCAGTAAAAATGCAGCAGTGCTATGAGAAGATGGAACATCTGAATCTGGAAGGGCTACAGCAAAGGTTTGATGTGGGAAGTCCATCCGTATTCAAGCAGAGGGCACAGATCCTCATGCGGGAGGTGAGGAATGGAAATGCTTCTAATAAATGTTCATCTACGTAATGGGAAACCCAAGCCACAACTCTTCAATGTACTTGTTGTTGTTGGTTTAGAAGTATAATGAGACAATAGCTCCTCCTGGTGGCTATTTTGTGTTTAACAAGCCTATGTTTGTACGTTGTGTGAACAGATGTCAGCCCTAAGTTGATGGGCCTGATATTGTTTACCACTTCCAGGCCGCAATACATACACATACGGCGGCCCGCCCAGGTGGTTAAACCAAGAACATGGTGTTCTTGGTGTCATTTTAGACAGCTGGAGATGGCTGTCCAGGTACCAGCGATCCAGCGTCTATACAGCCACTGGATCGTTTCTACAGATCGCTGGCATGTCCTGCACCCACTCACTCCACCGGCTTCCCTGGGCTCCGCTCTCCCCGTGCAGGGCCTGGGACTGACATGGCGGGTCTCCCCGCAACGATCAGAGAGAGATCCAGCGACTTTCGGCTGCTGATCTTGCTTCCGATCACTGGACCTGGAAGTGATGTGTATTACATCACTTCCAGTGTCACTGTTTACATTCTCTGGCTCTTAGAGGCCAGAGAAGAAGCTGGGGAAGCAGATTTCGGTTTCCTCAACTTCTTTGGGGTCCCTAGGTGACATCAGGGGTCTGAAAGACCCCTGATGCCTCCATAAAAAGGACCTGTTACACCTTATCTGCTATTACATAGGGGGCTTCCTATTCCCCTATGTGATCACAATAGGGTTAAAAAAAAAAAAAGTAACATTTAAAGGTAAAAAAAATGTTTGTAAAGTTCTGATACTGCCAACCCACCGTGCATGCACATACATACGCAAACACGCATCGGTGCACCTACATGCAAAAACACATGTTACCTATCACCGAGAACGTCGAAGTGAGAGCAATAATTCTAGAACCATTAATCACTGTTAGCACTAAACTGATGAGCGGTAAAAGCTTTTAAAGTGTCCCCTATGGGAAATTTGGGGTATTAAAGTTTTTTGCTGCTTGGGCGAACGCAATTTAAAGGCTTGACATGTTTGGTATCTATTTACCTGACGTGATCCTGTCTTTTATATTTTACCCAAAAATTGGGTATTATATTATATGTTTCTGTGCACTAAATTTCATTTTAGTGTATTTTATCCTACAAATACTGGTATGATAAACATTTGCGCAAATACCGTGCGACATAAAAAATTAGAACTAGCATTTTCTTCATTCTACAGGGCCTCTGATTTCAGAAAATATATAATTGTTGGTGGGGGGGGTTAAAGCTGTTTTCTAGCCAAAATTTCAGATGATATCATTTGTGCAAAAAGTAGGAATTGCTCGGGGCAGCAAGGGGTTAATGGTGAAGCGAGGATATGTGCATGTCTGTATTATTGCACTCGCATGTACAATTCTGAGGCTAGAATGGTTGCATAAGCCTTTTTGTTCTCAACTCCCAGATATTTGCTGTCACTGCTTGCCAACAGATTTTCTAGCCTATTGATATGTCTGTTCTACCTACTCGAGCTTTATTCACATTGTAGAAGTGGTCTGTTTAAGAGAATCTAAAGTGAAGAAGAAAAATCTTCTATACTGCAGACTACCAGTCCTTGATTGTTGGTGTGTGCATTCGTTTTCTTTTTCCTTTATTTTCACCTGCTGATACTGCCATGTATTTGTTTCTGAGAATTATGACGCACATGTTACACATAGTAAATAATATTGTACGATATGATAGTGTTGGATTCAGGATGTGTTTTCATCACTAAGAACCTTTTATATCTTTGCAGCTGACTGACAATGCAGTGTACACATTTGAACAGCTGATTCATCAGGAACTGAACAAGTCAGAAGGGGGAGAGAACCTGTGTAGAGACATCCAGCGCATATTAGAGCGCGTTCTCAAGGTGAGTGTATATCTGAAGAGAGAGCTACATGTTAGAAGGAGGTTGGGGGTACAAGGAGTCGCTAATGCACTGAGCCAAAGCAGACCAGGGGCAGCGGAGTCTACGACCTGCTGGGCAGAATCTGACCAAAGTTATCTGATCTTCCACCACTCAACATCCTGGTGAAGTTATTGGATGTTGCTGGCTCTAAAAAGACAGTGGTGAGCCCAGTACACATGAAGGGGATTGAGGCCATATTGCAGCGGTTCTCAACCTTTTCTGTTGTCATGGCACCCTTTCAAGTATACAAAATCTGAAGGCAAGTGTGGCCCCTCCAAAATCCATACCAGATCCTTATCCCTAATATGGGGCCTGGTATGGATTTTAAGGGGGGATCCCAATCAAATGAAACACAGGGTTCCCCCTTGACTTCAGAGTCCTCCCCTCTCTCACTGGGAGTCCCCCTCTTCACATAAGAAGCCACCCTTTTCCCATTAGAACCCCTCCCTCACATCTGAGTTTTACCATAACAATGAGGAGCCACAGCGGCAGCCTGGAGTAAGGTAAGTGGCGGAGCAGACCTAGACAGAGGCAAACTTCCATCCTTTCCTCAATGGATTCCGCCTTCCTTGGATTAGCATCCTTCTTTTTCATGGTACTGGCAGCCTACCTGCACCATGGCAAGGCATGGGAATTCCAAGGCACGCCAGGGTGCTATGGCAACTTGGTTGAGAAAGGCTGCCATAATGTATAACAGGTAAATGATAACAGTCTTCACAGCATAGGATATTACCACTAGGGTGTCGGGCAGGGGGAGGCAACCTTGGCACTCAAGACCTGTGCTCAAACTACAAATCCCAGTCGTGCCTGTGACTTGGTGTCTTGCAATGCCTTATGGGACTTGTAGTTCCACAACATCTTTAGTGCCAAGGTTGAACACTCCTGGCTTAGGGTTTGCTTTATTAAACATGGGAATACTCGCCAAAATGTTACTGAACCCAGACATATGACTTCTCTTGCAGAAATATGACTATGATAGCAGCAGTGTTCGCAAGAGGTTCTTTCAAGAAGCATTACTGCAAATCATCATCCCTTTCCTGCTGAAGAAGCTGGCACCTACCTGCAAATCCGTAAGTGTGGAAGTAACAGAAGTACTTAAATCATACACCGATCAGCCATAAAGCATACGCCGATCAGCCGTAAAGCATACGCCGATCAGCCGTAAAGCATACGCCGATCAGCTGTAAAGCATACATCGATCAGCCGTAACATTATGATCACCCGCCTAATAATGAGTAGGTCCCCTTTTAGCTGCCAAAACAGCCCTGACTCCTCGAGGCATGGACTCCTCTAGACCTCTGAAGGTATGCTGTGGTATCTGGCACAGAGCCCTTAGTAGCAGATCCTTCAAGTCCTGTAAGTTGCAAGGTTGGGCCTCCATGGATCGGACTTGTTTTTCTAGCACATCCCACAGATGCATGATTGGATTGAGATCTGGAGAGTTGGAGGCCAAGTCAACACCTCAAACTCGTTTTGTTCCATACCATTCTTGAAAAATGTTTGCAGTGTGTCAGGGTGCATTATCCTGCTGAAAGTGGTCACTGCAATCAGGGAATACCATTTCCATGAAGGTGTGTACTTGGTCCAACAATGTTTAGGTAGGTGGTACATGTCAAAGTAACATCCACATGAATGGTCGGACCCAAGGTTTCCCAGCAGAACATTGCACAAAGTATCACACTGCCTCTGCCTGCTTGCCTTCTTCCCATAGTGCATCATGGTGCCTTCTCTTCCCCAGGTAAGCAACACACATGGACTCGGCCACCCACATGATGTAAAAGAAAACGTGATTCATCAGGCCAGGCCTCCTTCTTCCATTGCTCTGTGGTCCAGTTCTGATGCTTGCACGCCCACTGTAGGCGCTTTTGGCAGTGGGCATGGGGACCCTGACTGCTCTATGGCTATGCAGCCCGATACACAAAAAAACTGTGATGGACTGTGTGTTCAGACACTTCTCTATTCGAAACAGTATTCACTTTTTAGGCAGTTTGAGCCACAGTAGCTCTTCTATCGGAACAAACTACACAGGCCAACCTTCACTCCCCATGTGCATCAATGAGCCCTGGCCACCCATGACCGGTTCACCAGTTTTCTTTCCTTGGACCACTTTTGATAGGTCCTGACCACTGCAGATGGGGAACAGAGCTGCAGTTTTGGAGTTGCTCTGACCCAGTCACCCGGCCATCACAATTTGACCCTTGTCAAAGTCACTCAAATCCTTACGCTTGCCCATTTTGTTCTGCTTCCAACACATCGTCAGGATCAAAATGTTCACTTGCTGCCTAATATATCCCACCCACTTCCAGGTGCCATTGTAAATAGATAATCAATGTGATTCCCTTCACCTCTCAGTGATCATAATGTTATGGCTGATCGGCGTATGTTTTTTCAGAAACAAAATCAATACATGCATTTTCCGTATGTGTTATGCCTTTAAAAATACTGCAAGCACAACAAATACCATTAGATTATGCCAGTCCAGTGTTTCTAATTTCCTGGCGTGAGTATTTTTCTGTATCTGAGGTTTTTTTAAGGGATAAAGCACAGGAAAATATGCATTTGTTGTAGAGATGTACTGCAGATATTTGATTTTGCCCAGACACAGAGTTCAAATCTGCATTGTAAAGGGACAACGATTGTGAAATAACATTATAGACCTCATACATGAAGGGTGTATTGAGGTGGGGTAATTCTTGGCACTCGTAAACAACCAGCTTAGTCCTTTTCATCCTCCTGAATTCTCCTGGAAACATGATGGGGAGAATTTGATTGGATGTAATGGGTGACAAGAATTGGTGTTTCTGGGTGACTTAGAGATATTTGGATCACTCTGCATGTTCTTTTAGTGCTCCGTTCTTACAACGGGTCTTGGCCTTCTTACTTCCAGGAGTTACCTCGATACCAAGAACTTATATTTGAGGAACTGTCACAGTTTGTCCTGGTGGAGAACACATACGAAGAAGTTGTGCTGCAGACTGTAATGAGGGACATTGTGCAAGGTAAGAGGAAGTGGTGTGGCTTTTGGGTGTTTATGTAGTGCCATCATCTGTCGTAACTCTGTACAAAGTTATAGCTATGACAGAGACGGTAGAACCCGGAATACATAAAATGACATTGTATATAGAGTTGTTTTAGCAAATGTAGCAATAATAAGAAAGAGTAGGAGAGCGGGCCCTGTGTAGGTAAAGGTGAATAAGCTATATATGAAGCAGCAGTGCAGACATGAGAGAAGCAATAATCCTGCATCAATGGCTGAATGGAGGAATTTTAGCTCATCCTTGCCTAAAGAGGTGTAATTTAAAGAAGAACTCTGGGCCTAACTTTTTATTAACCCTTGTAGTGGTGCTACCCCCGCCCTGCAAGGGTTAGCGGCTCGTTTTTGCCTAGGGTTATACTCACCCGATCCTCCAAGCCGGCTAGCGATTCCTCCAGCCTCTCCCCTCCTCCGCTGCAGCAATGTTATGTCCCTTGGCATCCTCACGTCCTATACACTGTATTGAATGCAATGACTCTGAGACCACTGCATCAAGTGGGAGAGACGCTCCAGAGACCGGTCTAAGAGGCGGCTGGATCGGAGGAGGTTTTTTTGGACTAGCAGCTAACCCTTGTAGTGTGAGGGTAGCCTCACTACAAGAGTTGATAAAAATGTTTTCTTGATTGAGGATTTATTTTGAAGATATCAAAGGTTGTAATTCCAGAGTAGGGGGGAGGCTGTTGAGAAGTCCTGGATGTGGGAATGTGGGGAAGTGACCTAGAGTGGACAATAGAGGGTCATGTGCTAAGTTAAGGTAATGTTTGGCAGTAGTTGGGGATTTTGTAGTACAGTAAGCTCCCCATTGTCCAGCATCCAAGGGGATTGGTAGATTGTGGATAAATGTAGTTTCTGGTTGCTTGAGAGTTACTATTAAAAATAGGTCTATCTAATGCCATACCCCATACTATACCATAAAACTGTATTGACTTCATATTATTATTTAAATACAGTAATCAAAGGCAAATACGGACAAATAGATACACTTAGTATTAGTGCTGTAATATTGTACTGTATAGTAGCTGACCTTAGGAAACAGGGCATACTGAGGTGTGTGCTTACTCACAGCCTGGTGTGCACTGTAATTCATGAGCCTACGGTACTAGGAGCGATCACTAGGGGGCCAATGCGCACAGCTCTCAATCAGACGCAGCTTCCCTCAGGATAATACAGTGCTGTGTCTGTACAGTACCAGCAACAATCACACTCTTCAGCCCAGATCCTCTACCCTCCCATGCTGCAGAGCCGTCTCCCCCTCTCCTACAAGGTCGCATAGGATCAGCAGGACAGTGAGTGCACAGTGGATTTTTTTTTGCCGGTTAGATGAGAGTTCCGGTTAGTTGAATACCAGTTTACTCCACATTTGTGGAGGGACAAGACTGCAATGATCTTTGTAGGTGTGAGTTAGAAGTCTGAACAGGTTTTTCCGAGTACTTGGTAGCCAGTGGAGGTACTGACACAAAAAGCATCAGCATCAGCATTGGAAGAGTGAGAGACGAGGTGGAAGAACAGCAACTTTAAACTGCTATCTTAACCCTAGAACAAAAATGTAACCGATCACAACTTTCTGGTCTTCAGATGTGACGGCGGCTTTTATTTCCACCTGGTAATCCTGCCAGTAGTGTCCTAGGGTGACAATGCCCCATACTGTACGGTGTCTTTGAAAGAGTAGCGTTGTCACTAGGGATGCACAGATACCGTTTTTTAGGCATCAAGTACGGATATTTCTATTTCGGTACTCGCCGATACCGAATGCCGATACAGGTACTTCCGCTAGCATGGGGCTGGCTTTCCAAGAAAATTGAAAAGCCGGGCGGCCTGGGAAGCCAGCTCCATGCTATTTGGCCGGGAAGCCGGCTTCCCAGCCAATCAGGAAGCTGGGTGGCGAATCACTACTCGCTGCCATGAAGCCAGTAGCAACTCGTGGCACACTCGGTCAGAGGAAATCTCCCTCTGATCGGAAGTTCTGGTATCGGGGGGGAAGGTATCTGTATTGTACTTGCCAAAATCCTTGGTATCGGCACCAATAACAGTATCGGTATCAGTGCATCCCAAGTTGTCACCCAGTGAAAGGACTGCAAATTACCTCCCCTCTCGCCATAACATGGAGGAGGGGTTGTAGTCCTCAGAGATTTTCGCTGTGGAGACGGGACAGATGTGTGATGTTTATATGGACTTGAAAGAAGGTGGTTAATAAGTGAAAGTGAGGTCAGCTTCTCCATAATCCAGACTAATGACTCAGCATTTGCGTGTATCTAGTAACTGTATCATAATCCTTTCTTTTCTAGCTGTAAAGGATGCTGCCACCCAGCGAAAACATAACCTGTTCCGGGACAGTATGGTATTGCGCAACAGTGATCCTAACCTTCACCTCCTCGAAGATGGACCACCTATTAATTGGACCGAAGACTATTCCAACAATACTGAATCCTCGGGAGGCCGGCATGGCAGATCACGCCAAGTGGTATCCCTTATTCAGGATGATGATGCACCTGAATACCTGGAATCCTGTCAGGAGAGCCCAGCTAATGAAAATATCCCTGAAGAGCCAGAGTCCAGTGATGTTGGCATAATCCGAAGCATGCTTGTCAAAGAGTTTGATGTTCAGGTTCCAGTTTCAGACACAGCGCAGGCGCCGCAACATGGAGACAGCGCGCAGGCGCCGCAACATGGAGACAGCGCGCAGGCCCCGCAACATGGAGACAGCGCACAGAGCCCACAACATGGAGACAGCGCACAGAGCCCACAACATGGAGACACCGCACAGAGCCCACAACATGGAGACACCGCACAGAGCCCACAACATGGAGACACCGCACAGAGCCCACAACATGGAGACATCGCACAGACCCTGCAACATGCACTACCCGAGGAACAACTGACACACATCACTCAGTCACACACACAACAGGTGAGGCCTGGTGCTCTTCATGCCCAGGAGGAGGAGAATATCTCAGTTGGTGGACTTCCTGAAGATGATGTGGATCACAGTCATGTGGAGCAGACCGTGTCACCTTCCACCATAGATGAATCTCCAGATAGAGAATTGGTAGAGAATTACCAAAGGATTTCAGATCATTTAGAACAAGAAGTCCATGGTGATCAGGAAGAGGAGCCACAGCATTTACTGACACAAAAACTTTTCAGCACAGATGATCAAAAGCTGATTGAGGAGCAGCCTCATGACGTACCTGAAAACAAGACCGCCAACCATCATGATTCAGTTGTACAGTATGTTGGCCATAAACACCATCCGGTAGAAGAACAAAAGCAACACTCGTCACAGGAAAAAACTGTCCACCCGGAGATATTGCTTTGCCAGATGCCACAAGTGGTTGCCACTTCACTTGCCACTCCTTCAGAAGAAGACACCCGGTCTGAGGCGCTTCAGTCTTCCACGTCTCATGTTGTACATTCCACCCCAGATGACAGTGGCTTCCAATCACCCATGAGTGAGGAGGAGGAAGAAGGTGAAGGGTACAGGGAAACTCCTGTGCCAGCTCAACAAAAGAAAGAGGAGGTCATTACCCAGTTCTGAGGACCTGCACAATGGGACTAAGCTTTTATCATGAACTTATGGAGGGCAGAAGCAGCGCCAGATTCTCCTTCCTTTTGGCACAAAATGACTTATTTAAATGTTTTTTTTTGGCTCTGCAACACACACCACCCTTACCCTTTGCTATGCCAATGCTGGAGTTTTCGCTATTCCCCTATGACATGAACGCACAGTGTTTAAATATTCCACCAACATCACTTCATCTCATCATTGCCCAATATCCAGCCCCCCCACCACACACACACACACACACACACACACACACACACACAGTATCTAGATCACTAATGCTGAGCTTGTGCACATTTTATCCTCTGAGCTTTCATGTGCAAAGTTACGATTTCTTTCACAAAGCTTCCAGTACTGCCACTATTACACTGAAGATTGTTTCGCTTCCTATTACACACACACACACCCCTTTTGTATAAACACTCAGTACATAGCAATGAGACATAAACACTAACCCCAAAGACACAGCACTGAGGTGCCCTTCTGTGGAGGATATCATTGAGCAGACCCTACAGGCTTCCTTGCATGTATGTGACGTATTCTGTGTGTGTCAGCTCCAGGAGGACGGTGTCATTGGTTCAGTCACATACGGTTTTTACGTTTTGGGGATACACCATTTATGTAACATGGCAAACATGACTTTTAATATGCACTTTTGGCCAAGACCTAACCTAGGGTAAGGCAACCTCAGCACTCCAGCTGTGTAACTACAAATCCATGCATATGCCTCTGAGAGTCATGACTGTGGCTATTAGTCTTGCAATGCCTCATGGGATAGTTTGATGAGCTGATGTTGCTTACTAACCAATCAAATAGGTCCTGCCATCTTAAACGAGGCCATCTGCCAGAAGATGTGCTTCTATATCTGAGTTGGTCATCTATAAACATTTTTAATCAGTTAACAGTACAATTTCACATTCCTACAAACAAAGCCCGGCTGATTTCATACTATGTGATTAAGCTGAGCTTTATTTGCTGTGATGACTGGCAATGTGTACATATAGCTCTAGGGACAACTATGGGGGACAGGAGACTACAGCTGAGTATCCAATCCGCACCAAAACAGTTCCTTAGTAAATAATGCGTTCTCTATACCAACCAAATGGTCCTGATCCTGTGACAGAAGACATTCACACAAGACTGAAGTCTTTTAGACGAGCACAAGGCCATTAAAACGACAAAAGCAACAGTTAACGTAGACTTCAAATGTTCCACTGGCCATACACTGAGAATTTCTGCCCTACCAGCTGGAGTTTATTTACTCAGCCAACTTTTGTCGAAAGGAGCTGGGCAGGCATTCTGACAGTCTGTGCCCACCACCAATAGCCCGGTGAGATTTATGCGTTAATGGGGGAACCTGTGCGATTTCTTTTGTTCAATCCGCAGGCTGGGCAAAATAAATCAATTAGTCTATGATCAGCTCTAGTGTGACGTGTAGAGAAAACAGATTCTAGCAGTGGATTCATGGACAGACCGGTGTCTCCAGGAAGGATCACAACTTTCCTGGTGTGGATGGAATATTATTTTTATCCAAGAGACAACTGGAAACGTAAGTTAACATTCCGCCATGTTTCATCCACCTGTCAGAGTATGACACAGGTGCGGAGAAGCCTGTAGCTGCGGCCATTTTACATTCCGTCAGTGTTAGACTTGTATGGTGAACCCGGCACACAGCAAACCCCTGACACAGCTCTTTAAGTGATGTGTTTATAGATGTACATTCCTAATGTGTGTATGTAAGATGAACAATCTCTGCATGTGACTGGACAGAATGTGGGAGCGGTTCTCGTCTGCCATCTTCACTCCGTGCACAACCTCGAGGCAACCTCATTTTTCTCAAGCCAAGCAAGTGCCTTCTCTATCCCAGTGCAAAGCCGCATCTTCCCTCCCTCCCAAATATATATTTTATTAAAACTTTTAAATGTTTTAAATAAAAGGCTTCTAATTAATAAATAAACTTTATTGTAAGAAAACTGGAATTTTATTTGAAACATTTTTTTTTTACATATATTTTACAATCACAGGTTTAGGTTCATTAATCAAATGCTTGGGACAACCAGATGCCGGCTTTAATTACTAAACCTTCTCCAATAAAAAACAGCTCAAATGTTGCTGGTTGCCGAAGCATTACATTTGCTGATCAGTGTGTTTTTTTTTTTTTTTTATATATATATAAAAGTCCAAAAATACAACAGGGGTTTTCTCATATTGCTTTTTAAAACATTTACATGGGAACATCAAAAGAAAAGCAGAATTTAGAAATATTGTCAATTGGTAACAAATCCACTCGGCTTGTGACTGAGGATATGCCGTGTAACAAGTCATCCACATTCAAATACAATGAGGGGAATTTATCAAAACTGGAGCAGCTGTCCACAGCAACCAATCAGCTTCTAGCTTTTTCAATTAACTGAAGAAAGAAGCTGATAGAATGTGGAGCAGTTGCCCATAGCAACCTGTCTGCTCCAGTTTTGATAAATTCCCCCCAATATGTCTAATTCATACTGCGCTTTTCACATTTTGATGCTGTGGACAGATAGCAGCTCACTGTCCTGATGAAGTTTGAATCAAAGTGAAGTTTGTTGTATTAAACCAAATTGGCATTCAGAAGGAAAAGCTATGGCTGGTACCACTGGTAGGCCAGTGAAGTCAACTCCTGACCTGCTAACTTGTTCCAGGTTAATAAATCAGAAATTTCAGAGGCCAAAAATGGGGGTTACAGGGCAGCGGTGTTTCTATAAGAACTTTCATTTAAGGTGAAACTGAGGATAAAAATATATGGGAGCAGCTTTTGTCAACATGTCTTTAGGGCTTTCCTCATCATTCTGGCTTCACTACCTACTGAGAACCTGCCCTGGAACAAATATGCAGTTAGTAAAGTCTAATGTCCTGGTTGTTCAGGTCAGTGACTCGCTAGTTAGGAACACCAGGAGCAAGTTTAGAGACCTGGGACCTGCTACATTAAAAACCAAACAGCAATGACAACTCCTTTATTTCTATCCTCAGAGGTTCCCTTTAAAGTAAACACGGAAGCTGTTGACTTCTCCTGACAGAAATATAGAGTCTGCCATTGCTGACTTCCTTCTAAAAGATGTTGGTTGCCTGGCTGTCATGCCAATCCTCCTTCAGTGTGTTCAGTAAAGTTAATGTCATACTTGCAATCCTGTTGCTGGCAACAACTGCACGGTGACAGGATTGCTATGTAGAGAAATTCTCACCCACTTGCTCCCTCACTAGTTGGATGAAATAGTCGTCACTCCCTCACTGGTAACTTGCATTCTGCTGGATTTACGGCAGCAAAAGGGGCAATGCCTTGCCCATCCAGACAGTGGCAGAGTGACCTGTGTAAATGAATAAGCATTTTTAATGCACCGTTTATAGGCGACAACACAGGAGCTACAGGATTGCAAGTGAGACATCAGCCTGACTATCAGTTTCCTGATCCTGATTAGTGACTTAAAGTACCGAAGCCAGACGATCCGCAAACTGCCAGTCCGCTAGTGTTTTTAGAAGAAAGTCCGCAATGGCAGACCCCATATTTCTCTCCTGTTTAGTTTCCTTTAAGGGGAATCTGTAACCCGGTTGTGGTCATTCAAGTATTTCCATATTCTGAAATAGCAGAAAATCAACTTAAAACAAGCTCTCACTGACCGCCGCAGCAGCAGCAGATACTGTGGATCAATCCATCCACAAATTTCACAGCAGAAGCACTTAAAGAGGAACTTTACCCACCAATTGAATGATTCCAAAAACAGTTACTTTTCAGGTACGCCAATGGTCAAGGTTGCCACAGTGCTTTTATCTCTCACTCAAACTTTTAAGCCCTCCAATGGCTGGTGTCATAGCTGATCCCGTGCAGCACCATAGAAACTGCAATCCAAATAAAGGCTAAGATGGCGCCTTCCTTGTCTGTAAAGAATAGAAGGTTGTAGATTCACTTTACGTTGTTCTCAGCTCACCCAGCTTGCTCCTTCTCTGGACATTAGAGACTGGAAAGAGTCAATGCTGGAAAAAGGACTTGGAGGATTTCCCTGCTTCTGCTGTGAACTTTGAGGACGAGTTGTTCCAAAGTTCCTGCAGCTACATAGGCCAACAGGGACTTGTTTTAAAGCTCATTGCTAACTACCAACATTTACATACATGACTGTCCATTGCCTAGTCAAAAGGTTTACTTTAAAGGGAAAACATCACTGCACATCTGATATAAAAGCTCTGCTCTACATAAGTTAGATGTATAAGAACTTGTGTCGCAAACAAAAGAAGGGCATGTGCAAAGAAACACGAGTGTTTTTTTCAAGTTGAGACCTCTCTTACACACTATAAAATAAAGATGTAGCTATCAAAAAAGAAAGTCTGAAAGTCAGTAGCAGAAAAAGCCCCGATGTGGCCCAAGTCATTGAAAATCGCAGTGCAGAAAATTCCTCACCGAGGTCATCTGTGCACCTGTCACATTACCTATATGGCCACACTTAATGGCATGCGTGAAATAGCTCGCACTGCTCTTGGTACACACAGCAAAAAACTCAGATTCTGTACATTATATTTCTGCTGCAGTGTGGGTATGTTTATAGGTCAGGGACACCGTACCATATTGTGCACAAAACAACGCATTCCAACAAGGGTTGACATGAGAAAGCCAGTCAATCTGAGGTATCCCTCTACTGCCAGCTTTGCAACTAAACTCTTCATCCAGACCATAGGCGAGGCCAGTAATTGGGGGGTCCATATAATAAGGATGCATAAAGGAGTGTAACCACAGGCAAAGGGGGGG